CATATGATGTAAATAAGGCAAAAAAAGCATACTGCCAATGCTGTTTGACTAAAAGTAGAACATCCCAGAGATTGCATTAAAAAAATACTATAAAGACAGGAAATGCACTTAGCATTTGGTGCCCGGTAACAGTGGCAGAAACACAGTAGTCATAGGAAGTAAAACTTTCAAAATGCTAGTAAGGCACTTGTTATATTTCAAGCAGGATGTCAAGTTTGGCTTCTGGGGGCAAAAGGTGATTCCGTTTTCTATTTCAGGGAGGCTGTGCCATTTCAAATATGTTACTGCCGCAGATACCAGGGAAGTGTTATGATACTGTTTGCTTTACCTTATCAGTGCTGGTTTGAAAGTGTGACGATTTTTACCCCATCAGTGCTCAGATCTAATGAGATCAGCCACAACGCACCTATCTACTCTAATGGAAATGTACGAGTAGAGATCGCGGCACCTCTGTTGCACCTTCAAATTCATGTATTCTATGTTTATCTTAGGAAGAAAGTCATGTCACTCGCAAAGAAATTGTGCCTTGGTACATGCCAACTTTTGTGTTATCACACAATCAAGGTGATCGCTGCAGCACTTTGGTCTTTTTTGAGACCAATTTCTGTGAGACATGTGGAGTTTTGTTTGCCTCGGCAGGTGTTCAACCGTTATGATGTGTCGTTTGGTGGAGGGGGTTCCGCCTCCCAGGACCTGCAGGCGTCAGTCCAGGTCCGCGTCACCAACAGCCGACTGGGCATTGTCACCTACTGGTCCCTGGCCAAATTTGAGGACAGGCTCATCCAGATGAGGGAGATGTTTAAGGTGAGAACCAGTTTGTCTGCTTAACACCAAACCCCGGGTGCCGTGTATAAATCACTGAGGATCTTGCTGCTTATGGTGTGGCTTAAAGTTCACAGCCAAAGCCATGTTTGACTGAATTTGTTGTGACTGGTTTCAACACATACGTATATGAAGCATTGCTTGCAGCCATAAGCCATAGGCATCTGTTCTATCCCAGCCCAAATTGAACACGATTCAGGGTTTTTAAGTCCATTCCAAATGCCAGGATTTCTGGCTTTTTTTATTTCAAATATGATGGGTCCTTTACCACTGCATTGACATGCATTCAAATCTCCTGCTAACACGTCAAAACTCATTTTTGCCTCTGCTCGTGACTTCACTGAAGTTGCAAAGTTTCAAACCCCATGACACAAGCTTGATTTGAAAGTCCTGAAGTATTAACATCGAACAGTCTTCAAAAACAAGCTGGCATCTTACCTTTAACTTTATGCTTTGACTCTGCCATAGTGTGCGGAGAGGGGTAGGGATTCCACCGATGACGACGTTTTCTACAATCCCAGTGACGACTGGGAGAAAGACTACAAGATAGATTCACCAGTGACTCCTTCAAAAAGGTCAGTGAGTTTGTATAACAAGCTGCCTTGCAGAACAGACTTGAAACCAGCTGGCACTAGTTGATTTGGACTGTGACTTCTCCCTTGTAGCTTGGATAGCCTTAACTCTCATTTGCACGTAGAAATGGCCCACAGCAGCTGTTAATCGGCATGAAAACTGAAGCGTAACTTTCAGCAACTTGAGAAGAGTCATGAATGGTTGATGCCTGCGTGGGAGACTGTACATTGCCATTTATCTTATTCTTGCTAGTGTAGTGACCTTTAACTTTACTGCTTCCGAAGGTGAGCGGCAGGTAGGTCACAAGTTCATGAGCTCAGACTAACCAATAAGCCATAAATCCAATTCCTTAACTTAATTCCGAGTTCCAAGCAACTGGTCGTAAAATCTTAATGGTTAACCCCGTCCTGACCTGACCTCCATGAACTTGGCTTTCTTGACCCAGTCTTGACCTGTATTCACGACGGAACCCCTTAAATACTTGTCAACTGACCATCACCTTGTCTTTCTTTCATTGGGCACTCGCATGATCACTGTAGGCTCAACTCTGGACCAACTCTTGCTGTAACAAAGTGTTTACAATGTAAATAGTAGAAGTAGTACAAAAACAATTTCTGCTTCTCAGTGCTGTTATTTTTAGAGTCTGGTTCAACCCTACCTTAAAACTCTAAACTAGCATCCAATGGATTCGACTGATTTGAAGGTTTATTTCTTTACTTTTGATGTGAAAACCTCATACGAGACTACTTTGTTTTTATTTGTCTAGTACTTGAATGGTCAAAGTTGTTTTAAAATTGATCATAATAATGACAGATGAGTCCCTGTTCCTATGTACTCAAGATCTTGCTGTTTCTTTACCACTTTTTTTCAATCCGACTAGGGTTTTCAGCAGTTCCTACACCCCCAGCCGATGGGCTTCCCTGACCAGTAGTAGCACTGGTTCCCCACGGCCCGGCTCCACAGCGAGTCTCGGTAAGCAACCAACACTCAACCCCTTCACTCTATACCAGGCAAGATATGGGACGGAGGGGTACCCCCCCTTACCTGTCCAATCCCTATGCACACTCTAGACTATTGTTACCTAACACATCCCCCTAGAAGTCTGTAAAGAATTTCTGAGATTCTGATCAAACAATGACCAACACAGAGAGGGGGGTTCTCTCCGTCCCATATCTTGCTTCAAATGCTTCACTCTGCTGCACCCTCCAAAGCACTGCAACAGTTACACTGTCAGTCATTTTTTTTTAAGGCTTGTTAAGGAGAGAGAGTTAAATGGCATGTGTCTGTGGGAATTCCTTGCAGGTGTTTGGCCATGGCTTCCATGCTTGCCTGTGCTATTTCTGGTGCCAGCTGTGTCCGAATCAACTGGCTGTGGTTAAAAATAACACATGTCTCTGGGAAGTGGCTGCAGCTACTAGACTGTGGCTTCCATGGATGCCTGTGCTGTTTCCAGCCACAGCCATGTCCGAATCAACTAGCTGCGGCTAGGAGTAAAACATGTCTATGGGAAGTGGCTGCAGCTGCTAGCTTGTGGCTTCCGTGGATGCCTGTGCTATTTCCAGCCACAGCCATGTCCTAATCAACTAGCTGTGGCTAGGAGTAACACTTGTCTATTGGAAGTGGTTACAGTCACTAGGCGTAGCTTCCCTAGCTGCACATTTTTTTCTTAGCTGTTGACATGTAGGCTTTACCTTTGATTGTCAGAGACTCGGTGGCATGCTTGAGCATTTTTTGGCATGCGAATCTTATGCGATGAATTGTAAAAATTTTACGCAGTATGCAAAGAGCATTTTTATGCGGCATATAAAGAAATAAGGGCCTCATAAACCGAGGATGAATTGACCTATCACAGTTTGCAAGTTAGCCACGCCCCCTTAGACAACCCTATAGGATTTGTACATTGAGGTGTGTTCGTCTCAAACTTAGCACCTCCGCATCCATTTGTATTGGACAATATTTTGCAAGCTGCATTGAGGTGATTCTACCATGATTGGTCAATAACCCGCCGCAATCCATCTCAATTCTTCCTTTTACAGGAAGTGCAAATGGCAAGAGGGACTCCGTCAACGGCCTAGGACTGGCGAGTCTCTGCAGGACGTTGCTGAAGTCCTGCCTGACCAGCCGGCCACGCACCCATGAGGAGACCATCGCTGACTGCATCTTGGGAGCCATGCAAAGGGTCAACAGGGCCGTGGCTGGACTGCAAGAGGCCTATGCTACCCGGAACGAGGCTTTTGTCAGTTCTGGTGAGTCATCTTTAAACATTTGCAAAAAAAAAAAGTTTGTTACTGTGCAACCCTGTTACGTAGTGATTATGCACAGGTCTAAAGCGTTGGGTGGACGCAGCCTGTTGTTGACCAATCACATGATACAGAACAATAGCACACTTTATTTGTGGTGTAGGTGATATCTCTGGTTCTCTGAGCTCGGACCAGATGCTTCTGCAAGCCACCTGCTCCATGGAACTCCTGACTGCTCTGATCTCCATGTGGGATTTGAACCCCGGACGCTCAGATGGACATCTGGAAGCTCCGGCTGATGAGTCCGAGGGGGAACTCCTGGAGCAGATGGCCGACACCTGCCGGAAAGCGGCCGGACATCTGATGAAACTCTTACAGGTGGGAATTCAAAGATTTCTATGTCTAAAAAGGTGATTCATGATGCAAGTGCTGTAGGCCACAGGTTAATGTTCCTTCAAATATAAGTCTGTTCCAAGATAAAAACTCTCAACTCTGGAAGATCTGGTTTAATCTCTTTCCCCAGCTGGGGAAGATAGTTGGATTCTGTTCTCCCTTTAAAATCTTGGGTATGCAATGACAGAAAATTGATTGAAACCTGGTAGGTATTCAATGCCCTCCATTCAACTCTTTGAATTGTTGAATATCTCTATTTTGTCTGGTCTTGTGATTGATTGTTTTGTTGTATTTCTTCTGATTTTTGCATCGTGTTTGACTGGACAGGGTTGCGATGGCGACATTGACAGCATGATTGCTGAAGCCAGCACCAAGATTGCCCAGTGCCTGGTCTTCCTGGCTAGGCTTGTGGGCGAGGCCTCCATGAAGGCACACTTGAATGTGCTGACATTTAGAGATGTGGATGATCGGCAGGAAAATGAAATAGTAAGTTAGCATTACTGACGGCATTACTGATAATGCTGTGTTTCTTTTTTGATGTAAAAGGGGTCATCTTACCAGACTTTTCTCTTGCGGATGTACCATGATTGGCTCTCAGCCAATTTTTTGTCTACCAGATATTCTTTGCTTGAAACCCTAACTTCCACGTAAAGTGCAAGGCTGAGGTAACATTCAAATGCTGTTGGAACCGTGCACCCGACTAATTTTTGAAATCCTCACTCATGTAAGTCATGTGCTAACAGTCATAAGGAGTGTTGTTCCAAGGACAATCATTGATAGAATATCTTTCAGAGCCTGTAGATGTGTCTCATAGGTCACCATCTAAGAAAAATTACAAAGTTTCTGCATATTCAACACCATCAAATACATTTGTGCAACGTTCTATACACGAACATGCACGGATCCAAATATCTTGAAAATACAGCACGACTGCTGTGTGTCATGAAAATTTGACATCCCAAATGCTCATGCATTTGGGAATCTGTAGGAAGTGATGTCATGTCAGAGATATCTATAACAGTAAAAAACTAAAGTGTTGGCTTTGGTTGCACAAAGTTGCGATGACTCGGAGTAACATATGACACACAGCTGTGCTAAATCACTGAGCAATTAGGGCGTGGCTTGTCAAAGTCAAAGGCATTACCAGGTCATCTCATCACAGTTCCTGTTTGGACAGGTGGACCCCGAGCTGAAGCAAGGGTTCCTCAACGGAGCCGACGTCCTGGTCGACAGGACGCTCCAGCGAGGCCTGAAGGCCGTGACCAGCTGCGAGGCGGACCTGCAGGTCATTCTGGGACCGGACAGCCATCTGCCTCAGGTAAGTCTCTCAAAAGTATCTCGCGTCCAAGCTCAGGTACTCAATTGATCGGAACGGTGGATGCTCGGGGTGAGTCATTCCAGTGAACACTCATCATTGTTCAGTAGACTGATCCATTGTTAGCCCCACCTGCAGACCCTTCCCCGTCCGTCATTTGTCATTTGTGCATTATGTTGGTTTTAGGCAACGAAAAGTGTTCTAAATCTAGAGAACGATGCAATACAATTAACCTTATGAAGTTTAAGCTCAGTGACTGCTGTGCATTCTGAGAAAAACAATCTTCTAGGAACCTGTTTTCAAGTCAAAATGTGCAGTGATATTTTTGAAATGCGCCCATATTCAGTGTCCTGGACACACTCTCATCTGGCTGATCGCAGCTACACGAACCGACGAATGATAACAACTGTGCACGTGTGCATTGTGATGACAGCTTGTCTGAAAGAGTAATTTCACTGGGAATTTGGTCCCCTAACTATCTTTAAGCCGTGTGTGCTTTTCACCAATAGTTTTGTCAGTTACTCTGTGAACATCTGCAAATGTAGGACTGTACCTTTGTTGGGAAACACAGCCTCTCGATGGCAACCTCTTGGCCCTGCAGCATTAGGGTGAATCACTCCTGTTACCTATCCACAGGGTGAAAGCACGGACGCATTGCCGTCAGGTTAGGGCACTTGCTTACATTTGCAGTGATTTATGTAATGTTCACTTTCTCAACTTTCACCATCATTCATTCCAAACTGTATACGAAGAACAGTTGTGCTGAGCCAGCCAACAACCAGTGCTCAGTTGCACACTGCCCTCTTCCGTGCACGCACACAGCCAATACCCGCAAGAGGCAGTGGAATTTATTTTCCTGTGTTTCCATTTTCTTGATGGCCTTTATTTCTTGATGGCCTTTATTTCTTGATGGCCTGGTCTGTTGTATTTAGGCTTTACAGTTTCTGGGACTGTTTGATATGTGTGGATTCGACTGCATGATTGTTTAGTGGTATTTAAAAACAGTTAAATTAAAGAATCAAGTAATTTTGGGAAATAAGTTCCTTTCTCGTGAAGTGATTTAGGCAAAAAGTTAAACTTAGACAAGAATGATATTTGATGGACTTGCATCCGGAGTGTCACAGTGATGTACTGTCAAATAATTGATTTAAAAATCATTTGTGACAACCTTTTTTTTTTTTCAAAGTATCCGATGTTCCCCTGTAGTAGTGGCTTAGGGCCAAATTTTCCTCACATTCAGCCAAATTATTGTCGTGGGATCTAGAAAGACAATCAGTCGCCCGAAAAAGCTGCCTGCCTTGAACTTTTGGTTTAAATTCCTCATTTGATAAAAAAAAACCCGAGAGGCATGTCACCCTTGAGGTTCCGTCCGGCTGTAATTCTTACGTCCATGTCAATAATGCTCAATGATGCTCGGCGTGAGCGACACTTTGTTTCCATGGGCAGTTTCTGTTCCGTAGCCAGCTGTCACTTTAAAATGCTGCCACCCCTGCCCTGTGGGTACTTAAATTGCAGTTAGCCCCGCTTCAGATCGGGTTATTCTTGGTCGTAAAGGCACGCCGACGTAAATGGGTCCTGATGAGAGTTCCACCTGTGTTGCCACTCTGCATCGGCAGACAAATTATCTGTGATGTCGTTACCTCACTGTAGTAGCAATTCCATTTTATTTCCCCCTCTACATTTGTAAAAATGAACAGATCAAAGAGGAGATAACTTTCATATGTATCCAGGTTTATTTTCGACAACTTTACAGGGTTACGCATGTGCAACCATGACCTATGCTCTTAATTTCATTTATATTGGTATATTATACCGATATGATGTTATAGACAACGCATGAGCAGTACTTTTGCCCAAATCCCGTAAGAAAACCTTTACAAGGTTACGCACGTGCAACTACGACCCATGCTCTCTTTCACGCAACTGAATCACGTTTGCTCAGGTTTAGAGGTGATTAAGTTTGCTAAGGTCAGGAATAATCAACCTTTCCTTGGAAACCCTTCAAAAATGTACTGCTTCATCAGTATACACTCTCTTTTCATTTTTTCTTTCTCCTTCTTTGTGTGACAGGAAAAAAAAATTCCATATTCCTTATACCGTAATAATAAAGGAAAAGTTCCAAAGCAGGGCCTTTCCACTGCCACTGTACACCCCTCAATATTTCAAGCACCGTTTGATCTTTGACATCATGTTAGCAATACTTGTAGAGTTAATGAAAACACACTTGTAAGGTTAAAGAGATAGACTAGACCAGTAAATCATTCATTGGGATCAAGGCAGTGAGCCCCCACTGGTGTTTGGTAAGTCCTGCGTCTAGTCTGCAAGATATTTTTGGCTCTGAGGGGGAAAAAAATCCGAAGAGAAATCCCTGCCCAGTCAACATAAGCCCTCAAGAAATGTCACCGCAGGTTCCCCCCCCCCCTTCGGAGGCCGAGCTGAGCCTTGACTCCTTTAGAAGCGGAACCGATGATGCAGCAAACTCCAGCCCTACCGTCTAAACCCTCCACAGTCCTCTGGGGATGGTGCTGCTCTCCCACAACATTTGTTACTTGATCCGCTGGTCTATTACCAGCAAATTGATTCCTGATCCCAAGCAGGGGGGGGGAAACCAAATAGCCCCCATCCTGTCCTCCCTTGTTGCTCTCCGCCCCCAACAACCTTTTTTTAGTTCCTCCTCCCTCCCCCTTCCCGATCCTAAGTCTAATCTTCTTTCACTGAGCCCGTTTTAAGGGGACTACATAGGATCATGTAACATCCCTGGGCCAAAACAGAAATACTTTTCGTATCTTGTTTCATTTTTTTTTTTAAATCAGTCACTGGCATTTTTTCCTCGAAAAAGTATGAAATTGACTTGAAACCTGAGCAGACCACAAATAACATGTATCCAAAGAAAAATGATCCCTTTCATCAACCCTGGGGGTGTTTGTTTTTTCTGGCTTTTTCAGTTAGAGGATGGTTAGATTACCCATCTATCTCAACAGGGACTCTCAGCACGTGAAATTTGGGTATTCCGTTGTAAAATTGGGTTTCAAGTTGCTAACAAGTTCATATGTACATTTGTGTGTATCAAAGTGGGTGTCTAGCAGTCCACTACCAATGTCCGAAATTTTCAGACCCCCCCGTCAGCAAAACCATCGGCCTAAAATAATGCACCTGAGTGGGGGTCCTATGTCCGTGCTCCTCCGGACAAGAAATGACTTTTGTTTGGTTGGCTTTATTGTAACATCGCTCCTGTGCATTGCCCTCAGCGATGCATTTTTGGCTGTGGATAGATACTTCCTCTCTGATTCAGCCCTCCAGATCATCGGCCGAGTCCTGCCCCATTCCTGGGGTGGATTGTCTGTGCGACTGTTTGCAAAGGATGAAAATGGACAGGTGTAATTGCAGGACCAGGTGTTTTGAATCAAAAGGATTAGGCGGGCCCCTTCAGCCGTTTTGTTATTTAGCCTCACCGAGGTATCCAAGATTGATAAAAGAGATCCGCCGAAATCCACAGAAGCCGCAGGGCAATTTCTTGTAGTTGCTTAGCTTGGGATTTTGTCACTGCTGAAAAATTGAGCTTATTTAAAGTGATAAGGTCACCAACCAGTATGCCTGGTGATGAATATTCCTTCAAATTGATTTGTGGTGAGTAAAAAGTTAACTTTTTTTTTTGGTTTTTTTTTTGGCAACTTACTTAGCAGCTCGTTATAATTTTTTCCACTTCTGTGAACGTCAAATATGCTTTGAAATTGAGAAGTAAGCAGATTGCTCAAGATGGTTTGCAATGGACAGCAGCATGCTATGCCTTCATCAGTTGAAAAAAGAGTGTTAGATTACTTTACAGAAATTTATTATGACAGGTAGCTTTTAGACGGCGCACTGTCTTGTTGATTACCGCATTGGAGTATGTGTTCATATGAATGGATTTAATAGCCCAACTTGAAAACAGCATTCAGCTTTCTTTACAAAGACTGTCCTTGGCAAGTACAGTGTTGTTTCACTCACATATTGTGCTGTGTGGGTTCAGATTGTGATGGCCATCATGGTGGTGGTGTTCTTAGGCAAGACACTTTACCACAAGTACATGTCTCCATGCACCCAGTTGAATAAACGGGAACCTGAGGGTAGAGTTTAAACTACAGTTTTGTATTTACTACCGTGAACAAACAATCCCAAGGCCTGATGAACATAGTGATAACTTTAATAATTTGAGAAATTTCTTATAACCAAAACTACACAAGCAACATGTGAACATTTCATTTTTTGGGGGGAGGGGGAATTACTCCCATCCCCTGAGATTTGTTTAGAGCCAAAATCTGTTCTGGAGGAGTGTTGACATTTTCTGTCAAGGAAATTTCCTGCTTTTAGGTTTTCAGGCCCCCCTTCTTTTTTCCTCATCAAGATCCTTCACATAATTTTCTGGAATCTCATCTTGAAGTGGAGCAGAATAAATAAACCTGTGCCTCATCTGTCTTGACTTGTTTCAGATAATCCTGCTTATCCCTCCAAATAATGACGTTATCTTGTATAACAATTGGGAACTGTGTCTACCTGCATGTCGTTGAGTATCAAAGCCTGCGTTGTATTCTGTACATCTGCAGTTGTTACCAGGTAGATCAACTTTATTTTGAGCAGAATTGAGTGAATGGTTAACGTGTAAAGGCCCCTTGAGATTATTGCAGAATAAGTTGTAAGAAATCTTTCGGGTTTTCTGGGCACTATATGGTTGGTTCAAAGACGAGACACCTTGTTAGCTTGGCATTCTTAAAAGGCTACTTACATGTATGGTAATAACAGTCTTTGTGGCTGGTCTCTGTATTTGGTGGAGGTTCTACAAAGACCAAACGAATCGTGGGATCAGCTCTCATCAATGTGTCTGAGTTCAGTCCTCCAGCTTAAGAGCTAGACTTTTATTTATCGGATGCAGTGTCCCCTTGCAAGCCTGGGCACAAACCCAATTGATTACCCCCCCCCGGAGGGACAAAGCACACCCCCTTGCCATCCATTCTCATCCCTCTTTC